GATGAGGGAATGTCCTACACCCAGGTTTCTGCAGGATGGTATCATACGGTGCTTCTCCCGAAATGATGGCAGCGCTGTGGCTTGCGGACACAATTTTGCTTTCTGCAGGAGGTCATCATAAAGTGCTTCTCCGAAGTGATGGTAGTGCAATCGCTTGCGGAAGGAATGTTTACAACCAATGCGACATTCCACCTTTGAATGATGAGGGCATAGCCTACACCCAAGTTTCTGCAGGCGAGCTTCAAACAGCGCTTCTTCGAAGTGATGGCAGTGCTGTTGCTTGTGGACGGAATGATGATCATGGAGTTTGTCATGGACGATGCAACATGCCACCTTTGGATGGGGGAATCTCATATGTTCAGGTTGCTGCAGGAGAGCGTTGCACCGTGCTTCTCCGAAGTGATGGTGGGTGCTGTTGCTTGCGGAAGGAACACGCATGGGCAGTGCAACATTCCATCTAAAGACTTGGCGTGAGTACTTGTCTTTTGCAACCTCGCTATGTTTGTGAATTACACGCCACTTGCTAAAGACGATGTTTTGCAACTGAGTGCTGTTTTCGAAGATGCTGCAAGCCGTGCTGACATGCTGGGACTTGGCTGGGCATGAGGCCTTGCGCTTCAGGGCTGGTGTGTCTGACCTGGTCTTGGATACGCATTCTGCCCATTGCGCGTGACCTTAAGCGTAACCTCCAAAGTCTTCGAGTGGTCTTGCCCGATGGACAGTTGTTGGCCTCGATTTGCAGTGCCAACCCATTGGCCATGCTAGTGGATGTGAACGGGGCCATAGCCCAGGACCAGCAGATCATCAGCTCGTGCAGAACAAGCCCGCGTTCCCCTCCCAAAGATGGGAAGCCTTCCAGTTTATCGAAGCGTTCATGGTCTAAACTTAGCCGCCTATAGCCCATACTGTACTTAGTCCTCGAACCTTTTTTAGGATGAACTCTATAATACTAAGTCCTCTACTTCTGATGTCTTCATCCTCCAAATGTCCTCAACCACCATACTCCGTGCGCCTACGGAGTCCCCACATAAGTGCCCCACGGGAGCCCACCCGGCTTCCCGCTTCTAAAATCCACGCGGGATCGGATCAGATCGGAAAGCCCGAGGACATTTGGGACGCGTGGACCTTCTTCAAACTTCTGGACACCGATGGTGGTGGAATGGTGGAGGCCAGAACCTCAACGTTTCATTTTTTTGTGGAGGGGGAGAAGGAGGCAGGGGACGTGATTGAGGAGAATCGTTCCTGATGTTCCCTGATCGGAATATTTTTTGGGGGAGGTGGGACACATTTGGGTGTTTTGAGTATAAAAAGTGTCAAGATCTAGGAATCTAGGATCAAGCAATGAGAGGTTGGAACAACCTCTCCAGCTCCTGTTCCTGTTGACCTCTTCTCTTCTTCAAAAAACTTTGCCCATCTCTCTCTCTCTCTCTCGACAATCGAGTTCTTTTCAGGTGCCTTTTTTTTTGTGGGGACAGGAACTCAATGACCACCAGATTCGCGTCCCAGATTCTTCAAGAAACATCTTGATTGTTTGGGCGTTTCGAAGGACCATGATGTGTTTCAGGTGAGTGTGTGAACACGTGTTTTCGGTTGAAACGAAGATGTTTCGAGACCTCGAAAGAAACCCGCAACCCGCAACCACTTCTCTTTGAGATTTGGGATTTGATGGTGCAGTTTCTTTTTGCGTCGCCAGAATGCCAGGGTCCGGGTCACCTTGACACCGTTTTTGGAACCCAACGACTGCTTAAGGTGTTTTAGCCCATCGTTCCCTTTCGACTCCTGCAGCCGTTTTCCCAAAGATGGAGTCGACATGTTTCGACATGTTTCGACCAACGATTTGGAGCGTCCTCATGTCTGACCAGCGATTTGCTTCGGAGAATCGAAAAGGATCTGTCAGCAAATCATGCTTTTCAGTCCTGGACGCTCCGACAGCTGGCTGGCACCAACCAGGTGGAGGAATTCTTCATGGGCTGCCTGCGGTTTCGTGGCACGGCACGATCGATGGACGTGGCCAAGCTGATACAGGACCAGAGGCAGGGACGAACCCCGCCGCGCGCGTCGTGCGCGGAGAGAGCAACTTCGCGCGATTCCGCCTCGAAGTTGGAGAGTGCACGAGGCGGTTGGGGGTTTTCTCTACAAAATGCCGACGGGGGCTGCAATTTCCAGCAGGGCTGAACTGTGGAAAATGGTGGAACAGTGCCGGCAGTTTTCATGCAAAATCCTTCGATGGCTTTACCTCAGTGATCGGATTTCTGCAGGTGATGGGATGGTGTGAGGCTGGCAGAAGGTACACAACCGTAAAGCTTCGGATGAGAAGGCCATCGTATACGTCGTACAGGGAAATCTGCCAACCAGTTTGACTTCAACAAGTTAACACACATGAAGCCAGCATGTTCCAACCAAGACATCCAAGCCATGGGTGTCTCGGGAGTCTGTCGACCGGACCTGGACACACAGACGGACAGGTTTTTGGATCGACAGCGTGGTATGCGTGATTCTATGCGGCGCTTTCGCAGGTATCCACTGCTGTGCAGCTTTCAGTGATCGACCTGAACTACTCCATACGAAATTTCATGCACTATGTACTATGGATAGGTTTCCTGAAGCATAGGAACCAATGTATTGAGCAATAGCACAATCTTTGGTCTTCAAACAAAAGCAAGAACGGCCCAACATAGCCCAAACCTCCAACATCGATATCCTAGCCCAAGTCCTTTTCTGGAATGATCATTCCAAACCATGCCAGACCACCCCCTTCAACCAAAAGCGTTTTCCAAGATCAACAGCATCCCAAACTGCCAAGATCTGCGCGTTTTTCCTTGAGAAAACTCCCGTCACGCGCACGTCACACGCACCGCACACGTCGCACGCACCTCTACGGCCGGCGGGGGCCGGAGAAATCGGCCGTTTCATCGGGCGGAGAAATGGCACGGCCACGGGTCCACGGCCAGGTGGCTCATTCATCACCTTTCGAGCTTTGAAGCTTTCATGGAGTCCGAGCTCAACTGCGTTAAGGCGCCGGTGTTCCAAAGAGTGAGTTGGGGCGGCAGTGGTCGCATGGTTTGGTGGGTTGGGTCTTGGGAGAGTGTGAAGATCACGATTTGAGATTGTCCCCAGTGACTGGTTGAAGTGGCAAACATCTCTTGACACCTTACACCCAGTAGCCCTAGTAGAAGTAGCCGACGGCCCTTTAGCCCTCTTGACCCAATGACAGACCCCTCACTTGCCACTTGAGCATTTGAGCAGCTAGCAGCCTATCAACTTGGCTGCATGGCAAAGTTTTGGTTGCAAAGAAGACTTTAGGGAGCCGTTGGGAAGCCAAACACAACGGCGAACGGAAGCAACACACACTACTTTTGTGTGTGGCGAACGTGATCCTGCTCCAATGGTTTGATCGGAGCCACCGATCCGTGTCCATTCTTCTTCCCCACCGGTGCCACGGCAAACTGGTTTACTCCATATTGGTGTACACTCCTTGGAGTACTCACGGTGACGTGGCTGGTTGTTTACCAATGGCGCCCAGTTCGGACCTTTGGAAGACCATGCTCCGGTGGTTTTTGGTTCTACTTGGCGCCATGCTTCTTCCAAGTCCAATCCGCTTTCGCTTCATGGAACCCGTTTGGAGCCTGGGAGTCACGTCGCGTCTCGGCGCTTCGGCATGCGCATGAACCGCCCGCTTCGGAGCCCGAACGTCTCGCGAACGTCTCGCTTGGGGTTCGAAAAAGGGCGAACACACGGACAACTTGGTCCACCAACTGCTTGTGTGCACCAACTGCACATCCACAAGGTTGAGGGTCCCAGAAAGTTCAGGGAGTCACGTGATCCCGTTGGATCTTGTTGACTCAGGAGGAGCTGGTGCAACTGGGACAAAGCGTCCGACCAAGTTACAAGAAGATTCTGCCCCGGCTGGGCTCGCGGATGAGGGATTTGTAGGTGATATTTTTTGAGCACATTGCCGAACTGCGCGTGAATTGCGCGGTTTGAATTAGGGTTTCCTTGGATTGCCCAAAGTAGCTGGGCAATAGGGAACATCCAGTCCAGATCCAAGTGAATCCGATCCAAGGTGATCCAAGTGTTTAGGGCACATGTCTCCATTGGGACATGGAATGTTATGGAACGTTTGGACTTGGCTTGAGATTGTGGGGATTTGAGATGGTCTTGGTATGTCTTTGTTTAAGTCTAATGGAACTCAGGGCCACCAGCTCTGGGGGCATTGTTTTCCTTCATCTTGACGGAGCGATTGGCGAATCACAACATACTGCACCTGTTTTAATGGAGACTGTTGATTAGTACAACCCCCCAGTTTAAGACTGTCTTACAATCCAAATGTCTATTTACTTTATCAATCAACAGTCTAGGGAATGATCATGGACGATCATCCATTGCCAAACTGCTTCAGTGTTCTGTGGTTCCACAGCACTGTATGACCCCGTAGCGTTCCTCCTGAAGCAGCAGATGGTTCAACAGGGCTCGGGGGGACGAATCCGAAAGGGCAGAAGAAAGGCCTGTTCGGTTTTATACTTTTTAAAAAGCCATGATCAGTCATATTAATAGCCATGATTCACTTCCTGAGATGCACTTTCAACTTCTGTGCGAAGGCGAAGGGTTGATCAATACCATGACTCGACTCAACCATGATATGGGACCTCAGTTTTGCAGAGCTAGTGACCTTTGGATTTTCCCTACTAGGAGCGATCGGACGCTACCAACGGGGCTCCTGGCCTTACTAGAAACAAGGTTTGCTACGAACGGAACAAAGGTAATCGCTACGAACGGAGCGATCAGATGCTTTTGATTTTCCCTGGCCCAGCTTTGGTGACTCCAGAGGCCATGAGACGGTGGTTTTGAACCACAAATCATCGGCGCCCGCCGGAACCTACATCGTCACCTGCGGTGAAGCGGGTGGAACGGAGGTGCTGCAGGTCCCCCCAAACCGTGAATCACTAAACGATAGACATCCAATGAGTCTATGTCAATTGAACTTGGGTGAGGGTAGCAGCTTTTGTCAACGTCTCATTGAGGTCTCACCTGGGACATGGATTGGATGAGAGGTCCATACCCTCTCATCTGTTTTCTGGCAGCATGGCAGAAGCCTGCATGCCTGCATGCCCCTTCATTTTTAAGGAATCTCTTGAACGCAGCAGAGCCTGGGACTTGCTTGTACATCTTCGACCGAATAGAAATGCTGAAGGACAGAACACTGCCTGTGTGATCATGCAGTCATGCATGATCTTTCTCATTTTGTTTTCGTGTTGGAGATGTTCTTCAGCCCAGAGGGACGTGCATGGAGTATCCATGCATGTCTGCTGGGAAAATGCATTGTATCAAGTAATTTGCAGCTGTGTGCAAGGCACTAGACCAGTCGACTTGACAGCTGACAGCTGTCATAGTGGTGCATACCAGAATGGCACGCGCTCGAGCTCTGGACCACAAGAAACTCCAAACCAAAGGAACTCCAAGATGGTGTGTTGGCAGATTTTGGGTTTTCAGATTTCTCGCTGTTGCCATGAGCTTTGGCAAAATTGAGTGGCCAGAGTGTCTGAACATCGATTTTGTTTACTTCCTTCTTGCAAGCGCATCAGTCATCCATCGGAGGTCGTGAGGTCGTTGGTATCTCCAACAAAAACGTCCAAGTCCAAGTCCCTGTGTTTGCAGTGAAACTGACGTTTGTTGAGTTGTTGAGGTGGACTTTTTTTGCATAATTACTCCCCGCAAGCACCGCCAGTCCTTGTTCTTGGTCAATTCTTCAAATTGCATGAGTGAAGCCACTTGTTTCTCTACACATCCAACGTGCTCACTTGTTTTGCAGACAGCTGACTTTCAATCACCATGTGGCCGTTATTTGGCACACATTGGAAACGCTTGGCTGAGAGTCAGTCAAGGCGCAAAAACAAGCGTGGCATTTCGGGAGGAGGGCTTTCAGGCCGCAAGCCTCAGATGAAACACTCACTGGAGATACGGTTTCCAATGCATTTTTAGAGGGGATTCACTGTTCGATTTGTTTTGGGATCACTAAAGGCACTCAAAAGATTGAGCTCCACGAGAAGCTGTTTGTAGGGCTGTTTGTGGTACATTTGCCGCCGGCCGAGAGTAGAGAGCTGCCGAGGAGTAGTGAAGCACAGGATCTTTAGCTTCTGCATCCGCATAGCAGGGCGGAGACATGTAGTCTTGAAGGTTACCCTGTTTTTCTTTCTTTTCTTCCAGGACTCCAGGACCTCTTTGTTTTGATTTCTGCATACACCCAGACAGCCTACACCACCCTGAAGAAGATGTATCTCTTTCAATATGTCCTTTTTTGCCACGACCCCAACAGTTTGTCAAGGCTGATGGACGCCTCGAAGGCTTAAAAAGGCCAGCCTAGCTGCCTAGCTGATCCATCCAGAGCTCCTCAGAACCTGCCCCTGTCGAGCCGTCGAGGGTCCGGCGCCTCCATCTTCCGAAGCCATGGCATCGTCCTCATCGTCCTCCTCCCGCGCGAACGCACACGAGAAGAAGGAGGACGTGGACACATCAGAGGGGTTATCACCTACCTTCGAAGGCCCTGAAGAGATTAAGCTCCCTCCAGAAGGCCCCTTCGAAGGCTTGAACAGTTGAAAGACACATTGCTTCGTCCCTTTTGCCCTTTCTTCTTTCCCCGCGGCACGTGTTCTTGAGGACATCACGGCGACACCTCCCAAGGGACACCACCCGTCCGAAAAAGCGCCGTCGCCTTCTTGCGCGCTCCCCGCGCGCGGGTCTCGTGTCTCGTGTCTCTCTCCCGCGGATCTGGCTGCTTCCGGAGGAGATCTCGCGGCCGGTGCGCTCAGTGGCGCTGCTGAGCCGCGCCAGCCTGGAACAACTTCCGGTGCCGCTGGACCCTGATGAGGCGGTGGTGGGGCGGTGGTTGTGGCTCGTGGGCGTGGGTGGAGCCTTTTTACAGAGTGAGCACCGAGATGATGGAGGGGATGATGGGGGAATGGGGGAAGAGATGGATCAATTTTGGATATTTGGGTGGATCACACTCTGGATGTGGCTGAAGGATTGGATGCCAAAAGAGAGTCGCGAGAAGGTCTTCAGCACTCGGAACAGAGCTATCATGGGGTTGGTGGCTCTCAAAGGGGGGGAGGGAGTCCCTGGATTTCTGGGTGCGGAGACTGAAGCCATGTCTGAAGCTCTTGGATTTCTTGGGCGAATCAGCTTGGAGGTCAATTCCGAATCGTGTGATATTGGATGACCACCAAATGACTCAAGTGAGGTGCGGGTCGAGGAAGTCACATTTCTTGTCATGTCGGGTAGATCTGTGCGAGCTCGCGCCATCTGGGAAAACCATGGAAACTTGGCACAGAAACGCATGATGTGCGACCGAACCTTAGAACCATTGATGTCTTGCTACCTCCCAGTTTGGGTCTCTGCTCAAGTCCACCCACCCAAATCCACCTGTCGCCCAGCCACCGCCCAGCCGGAAGCAGCCAGACTCACCTCCCCCCCGAGCTGCGCGACGCAGCCAGGAAGAGGGCGCGGCCTCTTCGAGCCTTTTGAGGCCGCGAGATGCGGCATGTCCGACGACGGTCGCCGGAAGGGCCCCCTTTCTTAGGGGCGCTGTAGAGCGGTTGCGGCTGTGAAGACTAGGGATTTTGCTGGAGATGGATGATCAGGAAGAGCAAAAAAGAAAGGATGATGTTGGTGCCCTGAAATGATTGGGTTCTTTTTTGTGGACAAGAACAACATCTTCCGATCTTCACCCTGGTGGCATGGCGCGCCGAACCAATTTCAACACGGACCATGCCACCAAAGCTCGACCCTGCGCCGCGTTGTCGGACCGCTCGTGCAGGCAACATCACGCCGCGGTCATGCAACGACTTGACCTGCAGGATGACTTGTTGCACCAGGCACGAAGAGTCGCCACGATCGCCTCGCGGAGGATGCGGAGGAGCTTCCTCCCAAGAGCGCCGTTTTTTCTTCTTTTTTTAAACATGGTTTTGCACTCTGACGTAGTGACAGCTTTTGTGTGGTGCTGGAAACAGTGGCAGGTGCTCTCGAGCTGTTCACATACGGCTCCGAAGCTTCTTCTCAACTACTCGGATGATTCATTCGTTCCTTGGCAGTGGGCGGTCACATTGGAAGATCCTCGTGTGGGTCGTCCTGGGCGAAATTCGCCGGCTGATCGGTGCGTTGTTCTTTTATCTTGTTTATGCAGATGACATGAATCAAGATGACATGAAGACACGCAAACCATTGCAAAGCTGTAAACAACAGGAGTTTGAGTAAGTTTTGGCTTCTTTTTTTCAGCAACATCCATGGTGCTTGGCTTTTTCCACCCCCACCGTTTTGTCATGTTTTGTCATATTGTGGATCCCTTAGGAGTAGAAGATGTAGAAGCACATGGCTTTCCAGACTCTCCGGAGCTGATTTAGACGCGGCATAGGACGCTGAGAGACAGGGCATAGGAGGTGGTCAGCTGGTCTTACCCCGACCAGGGGCTCAGAATGCGACCAAAAAGCTTCCCGGTCGCGGGTCGATGAACATGACTTCCTGCTCCGTTTCTTCGGTCGGAGCGGTTGCCGCAGGTCGGGATAATCGAAACTCTCGGGTTGACGAGTGGTTTCGAGCCCGGTTTGGGGTTTCATCCTCCGAGGATCGGAGGATTCGTGGGGGTGTTTTTGTCCAATCATTGGATTGGCGGATTGGCCAATTGGGGGTTCCACATCCATCTCGTCCAAGGGCTGCATAAAGCAGCCGAGTAAGGCTCGTTCGGAAGGCAACAATGGGCAGGCGGCGGCAGCGTCAAGCTTCCCCAAGGCGTGTCACCTGTGCTTGCGCAGGTTTTGTTGCCTGTGCTTGCATGGTTTCAGAATGCCCTTCACCAGTCAACGAGATCGAGGTTTGGACATGCCTTTTCCTTCCATCCTGTTGATCAAGATGAACATGTTCAATCTGCATCAAAGAATTTGGTTGTCCACGCAGGGCTATTCATGCCCAAGTCATGTAACAACGCCCCTGGTCTACGGAACAGGATCCTCATGTTTGTACGCGATCTCCAAATTTGGAACCTGAGTTCTTCGATGTTCAGACAGCAGAAAAAGAATGAACAGGATTCCTCTAAATCTTTGCCCCCAACCTGCTCCCAAAACAGAGATCCTTCCCATGTGCTCCCTGTTTAATCCCCAACCGAGAAGAGGCGCCCTGCCATCCTCCGACTCCGACGGATCTTGAATTCGAATCGACGGCATCGTCCGAGTCGTCAGTCACGACGTGTGGCAAGGTCCGACCGTCGACGTTGACCCCGCTTTGGGAGACCCAAAGCGTCAAGTAAAGTATGCCCACATGGCTGCCAAGCCCGGACGGGCCTTTTTTTACCGGCATACATGGTTTCCCAAAGCCATCCCGGAAAAGAAGGACACATCCGCCAAGTCTGCCAAGTCACCTGCTTCGCTTCGTTGCAGGTCGTGGGCAGTTCTCAAGCCACCTTGCTGAGCAGCTACACCCACGAGGAGCCACGCGGGGGCTCGTCTCACCATGCCACGGTGATGCGCATGAAAGGCACCGCGCGGTGTGCTCCACGGGAGTGGGCGAGGCATCGGAAGAGAAGAAACGGTGGACACTGGATGGATGGCCAGCTTGTCAACGAAAGAATGTCCGTGCAAAGGCGACTGTGACGGTTGATGAACGTTGACATCTTCATTATATAACATGATGTATTTGACTCATTTGACCAAGGTTCTTAGGTTCTTCCTTGCAGGGTTTCAGACTTCATAGGAACTGCATGTATCCCTTGATGTCAAGATTCATGCCCAGGATGTCCCCTTTTCTTTCGGCATCCCAGAGCCCCAAGAGACTTCGAAAAAGCAACGACGGTCCGGCATTGTTTTTTCGCACCAGTGAAGAGCCTGTGCACAGGTCAAAAAGAGTCTTGGAACGTCATTCCATCATCACCTGTGCTTAAGCACAGGTTTTGCCATTTGCGAACGTCAAAACCTTTAGTGTGCAAACTAAATGATCTTGTGATCTCTTGTGCCTTGTCTAGCTTGTACATTGTCTTCAGCGTGTTGATGTTGGAGCCAGCTGATTGGGCAAATGTGGCCTTCGTTGGGTGGGCCGTACCATCGATAGAACGTAAGAGAACGCAATGTAACAGTGGTCGTAGACATTCCCCCAATTTCTCATCTTTGTCGGTTTGGTCCACTTTCTCTTCACTCTCTTCACTCTTCACTTGTGTACTCCGGTCAGTTCCTTGGTGCTGGCAGGACCTGCAGCAAAAGGATGTGGCTTGGCGGTCCAGTCGACGTCGGTCCAGGTGACAGGTCGAACGAGGGACCAACGGTGTGGGTTTAGACCACCCGGAGTGGGTCGAGCAGCGCTGGAACTCCTGTCAGTTGACCACCCGAATTCTTCTGTTTATTAAAGTCTATTCGGTCAAACGTTCGGTTTTCTCAAGCAGGGATTGGTAGGTGCCATGACCCACAGCCTGTCACTATAGTCACTGTTGTCACTGTAGTCATTTTCGAGGCATCCATGGGGAGAGTTCTGGTTCCTGGTCACATGCACATTGCCTTTGAAGGCAGTTTTGGATGGCTTCAAAACCTTGAAAGCTTTGTTTCTTCTGGAAGAGACAGGGTGAACATGTGTGAAAGGTGAGACATGTTCTGTTGCAACTGAGTGGACACGGGGTTGCCCGCGGAGTCCAAACAGGAAGGGCTTAAAGCTGGTGAACTCACCATCCTGATGAATAGATGGCTCATGGCTCATTGGAGGTTGACATCCCTTTTGGAGGAACCGGTTCATTTTCACGGTCAACCCGGAGTCCGGGGTTTGACCCATCATATATATATATATATAAATGAATAATAGGCCGGTAACTTGCAAAACGTGACACGAGGCTGTTGCTCAGGAGGGAGCAAGTCGCCGGGGGTATCCATCTTCCCCTATTAATCAGAGAGCCATTCGGAGCAACCCGGGAAGTTCCCCAACCCTTTGCTAGTTAGTTTCCCCAGGCTGACAAGGAGCAAGGACGCTACTAGGGGCTCCTGGCCTTACTACTAGGAGCAAAAAGCTACTAGTTAAGGGGCCCCAATCTGATTTTGCTGGAAGTTTGCAGAAGTTCAAATTCTGGAAGCTGGGACAGGCCCCAGCGGCAGATCTGGTTCCGAACCAAAAACAGCTCGTTTGGGACCTCGTTTGCAATTTTGCCCGTTTGCTTGATGAATGGCCGTTCGATTCGTGCTTGTTCGCATGGTCTCAGGACGCCTTGCAAGCTCACTCTGAACACAGCCGGAAGCTCTTCAAAAACCGGACGCCCAATGCCAAGCGCATGAGAGATGACAGCTGCGCGCAAAAGCTGGTGCCATGGCTTCCACAGAAATCGACAACATATATCATCCTATAGCCTATCATCCTATAGCCTATCGACAAAACATTTGGATCCAAAATCCGAGTTTGGCGTTCTGCCCGCCATCCCATCGCCGTGTTCGAGCCGCTTTCGTTCGGTTTTTTGGATCCGCTGGGAGCGGTCTTTGGTGACGGTGTTCGAAGCGCCGTCGGTCGACGGGCTTCAGGTGAAGCTGCAAAGCTTCGAAGCCTTCTTTGCCTTGGTGGTCATCACCAACGCCATCTTCATCGGCTTCGACGCTTGGTCCACGAGCATTTTTTAAATAGATGGTACTTTTTTTCTTCTCAGCGCGGTGACTGCGACATCTGGTTTTTGCAGTGATTTGGGGTGTGCTCGGTGTGTGGGCTCGATGTGGGCACGGATGGTGTGATTCCAGTGATGGGGGTGGGCACGGACCGGTACGGACTGGTACGGATGGGAGGCACACCAAAGTTGCTGTTGGTGTGGGTGGTGGTGGTGGTACTGTGACAGTATTGGTCACCTATGTCTATGTTGTTTTCCTTTCGCACTTGAATGCAGGTGCGATCAAAAAGGGGTTGACTCCACGTCATCGTTTTCACATTATCAAGGCCAAGGCATGTGGGTTAAAACCGGAAGACCTTGTCCCTTGACCTGCCTGAGGCTGGAAGGTCAAGGGACATCGTGGACGGCTCCAAGTTTGACCCATCCCCCAAAAATTAGACTGAAGGATTCAGAGAGGGAAACAGGGCAGAAGGCTCTTACTTTTGCTTGCTTCTTCAAGCTTCTTCAAACAGCGTTAGGATTTTTGGTGGACATGGAATCGAACCCAGACACTCCATGTATGGCATATTTGCCAACATGTCGTGGAATATTTGCCTGCATTGGGGTGGTTGAAAAGGAGTCAATGTAGGCATTTATTGCCATATACACATGTCCAAACCAACTCTTATTTTTTTTTGCGATACTGTTTCTATTGAGAAGTATACTGTAAGTCTAAGTATGTGTCCATCACAAGAAGTCCAGTCCCCTAAATGGACTTTAAGAAGTGCTTGGAACAACTGGTGTGAAACCCGTTTACCTATGTTTACCTTGCCTTCCTGGATGTGAAACCATGGTTTCAACCATGTGAAACCGTTGATGTCTCAACCCTCCAAATGGGGCTTCGGTCCGCCTCCACCGACACCGCCACGGACCGACACGGACCGGAGGATGTGGAGCGAAGCGTCACGGTGGGTGGAGACCGTACGTTGGAGATGAAAGTGGCGCAGTATGTCTACACAGGTCCGCGGCCGAGTTCGGTTTACATGGGGAACTCGATGGGATGGGGAGATCGATCTGGCGAAACAAAGGCCGGAACGGCTGGGAACCCCCTTTTTTAGGTATGGCCGGCCAGATAGACAAAAGGGAAAAGGACTCGTTTTTGGAAAAGGATACTGTTTGCTCACAGGATGTCACAAGGTTTGTCACACGGTTTGTTCGAATGGAGAGACCCTGGACAAAAGGACACAGTTTGGTTCAGATCCTTGGCCGGGCGAGCTTTGTTTGCGCCAAGCTGGACCTGCCTGGACCTCCATGTGACCGGTCGAGAGACATCGCGGTTTCCATCCCGAAATCGGTGCTCAGGATTGTTCACCATGGAACTGGCCTTGAGGATTTGCGCCCATGGGCGTAAGTTTTTCATCTCAGAGGACCGGAAAAGAGCCAACAATTCGGTGATGTTTTCGGAGTTCGCCGCGTGCGGAGTGACCTGAGCAGCCGAGGCTGCCATCATGGGCCATCATGTTTTTTGTCCCTGCGCACATGGCCCACTCCGTCGTTAAACGCTCTAAACATCCCTATAGCCTAAGCCTCACCCAGCACGTGATTTCAACCCCCCAAACACTAAGAACCACGCCTGGATGAGGTTTTGAACGTTCGAAGTCGTCTCGACTGCTCGACTTCGGTGGCAATGAACACCGAATGGGGTGAAGAACGCTGGACCTGAAGGCTGGAGGCATCGATCCCCTTGTTCTTTTTTTCCATGCTTTTTTCCGTGGTTCGGCTTTGGGTGGACGGTTTACGGTTTGACCAACCGTTGGATGACTTGACTCAACTTTCTTGCAGGATGGAGATTTGGGTTCGAAGTCCTGTTTTTGGTATCGGTAGTCGTATACGGATGTATACCGTACATGAGTCATGCAGATTCATCAGTCAACAGAGCGAGATGCGATGATCCAATTCGCCTGAAGAGGACTGGATGTGGGCTTGGTTAGATGCCTGGACTTGGTTAGATGGTTGAATGTCGGATCTGCGGGGTGGGGCAGGGGATCTGCGAGGATGGCAGAGTGTTCGTTTGGCGCTTCCATCATTTTCTTTGGAAGGCTTCCATCAGAAGGCAGGTCAGCAGCCATGCCAGCCATGCACCAGCCACGCACCCCGCCGGCCATATGCGTGGGTTCGCTTTGTCAACCACAACATGTCGGAGCTTTGTGCTTTGTGAAAATCCCACTGTCTGGGTCCCTGGGTTCTTCAGCTGCTGAAGAGCAACGCACGACGCATTACCGGTCAAAGCACCGAGGATGTTTTCATCGTCGCCAGCTCACTGTGGGAAGTGATGGTGGACATCGTCACGGATATTCTCAATGGACAAGGCCGTCTATTTTTTCTTTCGCGTGCCGAAGCTGACTGGCAGCTGCCCTGTAAGCGGCGAAGTGTCTGGAGAGAAGGGTAGAAGTTCTATAGAAGGGCATGCCTATGTCCCTGCTCCTTTGCCTTCGCTGGCGTTTTTCAGTCGCTCACTTCATCTCTACTGAAGTAAGTTCGACGAGTTCGATAGGCCTCAGTTTTCTGCAGCTCCAGTCCGACTGGAGAGCCGGTTGCTTGGCGACACCGATGAGCACTAGTATAGTATAGACAGAGGTAAGACTTACCTCAGCATCCGGTACCCTGAGAGTCAAGGACTGACATGACATGAAATGACTGGTGTTGGGGGACCCAAAGCAAAGCTTATTTCACGATACGGCTACGGCAAAGAAAGAAAGCATTGGATTGGATTTCTGGCATCCACGAACACCAAGCCGCCCGACCAACGGACACACGTCGGTCGTCGTCTCCCTCTCGACGGTCCGACGTGCTCGTCACGGCCAGGCAATTTGGAGAGTGTCGCAGGCGACTCGGAGCGTCACCGTCGCGTGACCCGTGTCCGTCACGTGCGCTTGAAAAGGGAACGTGAGAAACGCGAGAAAATAACAAGGGCAGGCGTCGTTTTAAACGGAGGTCATAAAAAGCCAACAGTTTGCGCATGAGTTCTTTTTGACGTGTTTTCAGGGGATGCTGACCAATGACCTGCCAGTGGTGATCCCAATATAGATGTTCCTGGCAGATTCTGAGATGATAGAACTTAGCTCTTGCTTGATCGGCAAGTTGAGTAGTTGCAAAAGTAGAGAATGAATCTCCACATCCATGTACAAGCTACATCCCCCTTTTCAAGAGCTACAGTGACAGGTTTTGAACAACAGACAGCTAAGAAAAATGCTTTTGGAAGCCTGTTTGTTGGCCTCTCGTGCCAATTCGTCGAGGCCTCTCCAACGTGAAGTCCTTCCGGGTAATACGACTCACCCGGCTGCTGAAAACAGCACAGCTGCTTGGTGAGAGCGATGACCGGATTTGAGGTTGAAAGACAGACTAAACTGGGTCAAGAAAGGTGACGAGGGTGTGAACAAGTGAAATGTACGTCGAAACAGGAGAGGGAGAGGAACGAAGTTTGTTGTTTGTTGTGGTAGATAAGACTTGCGCGAGCTCGGCAAGTTCTCCTCACCTGGTTCATCTCTCTCCCACAATGAATGAAGCCAGCCCACTAGGTGGTGAGGGATTCGTTGTGACCTCTCGAGAGCGAGCCCAGCTCTGCTGCTCTTCGTTTTGGCCAACATAGCAGATGAAGATAGATGAAGGTCTGGAATTGCATATATGGAATCCATTGAAGGTTTTAAACGATTTTGACCTGAGCCACATTGAAAAAACAACGAAAGAAGGAAAATAGACCAGTCTAGCTATTGAATTGGGGTCTTCCTATTAAATTGCACACCGATATTGGTTCCATTTCGAGATACCGTTTGACACCTACCTAGTCTTTTCATTGTATACAGTAAACAAAGACAAACAAGTCTGTTCAGACCTGTTGCTTTGAGTGTTTCTTCTCAGTTCCACACGGTTGTTGAACTTGTGCCACACCTTGCTCCAACCCCACACGCCACTGCTCTTCTAGCGCCGCGTTTTGTGCCCCCAGCGATGCTCCGATGCTCCTGTCCGCCCCGCCCGCCTGCGAGGTTCATCCGGATCTTCAGATTTGTGATGGCCTTACGGATGTTAGTCACGTCGATCATCTCCACCCTTAAGGCCCTGCCCTGCCTGTACTCTTGGGAGAAGACCAGACATTCTCCCCTCTTTGTAGGGAAACAAATGGGGAAATGGGAAAGGGCTTGGAAGGCTGGGGGGCCCAAGACTGAGAATTCCTTCACGTGGCCAAGCGACTTTGGCCAGGCTTTGGCCACAAAGCGTGAGGTGGACACGGGTCACCTGTTGGTTCAAATATTTCGGTCGTTGGTTCCAAAGACAAACCATTGGACAAGGATGGGAAAGGACCTGAGGTTTTGAGGATGGCTCATATGCACGAAGGCCGGAACTGGGCAGTTTTCTGTTTAGCTGGAGGTGTTGACAGGGCATGCCAGCATGTCGTCACACACCGGATTCTGATCGACCTCAACGCTTGTTTGCCCTTCATTACAACTTTTGGCTTGGACCTGGCCACAACGTGCACTAAAGAAATTGGTAAATGTGAAGTCAGGATTCATAGACCTCCCCTACTTCATCCGAGCCCCAATAGCGTTAAAAGACGCCTCTCCTCGTGCCCAAAATTGACGGTCTAATATATCGGATCATATTGGTGCCTCATTTCCATTCATTTCCTCCATGAATTCGTCTGGTGCGTCTGGTGCCTGAGCCAGCCAGGCACTCCTTTGGGCCTTGGTGCTGTTGATGCTCATCGTCTATGCGGCTCGGAGGATGAAAAAGACGGAGAGGATCTTCCGGGTTCTGAAGCGAACGGGGAAAGACAAAGAGACAACACCGCCTTGGACCTTGGAACTGCAGATATTTTTTTTGGCCTAGAACATACCATGAACATACCATGAACAACCGTGCATGCGGGTGACATCCATCGGAATTCCGTGACCGAGCTGCTCCGCTGGAGACGGCCGGAGATGTTGCGGTGCCCCGCGGTGCCCGACCTGGGTCGTGGGCCGCCTGGTAGACGCCCCGAAGAAGAGACAGGTGGTCCTGGTAGTGGTAGAGGGTTCATTTGCTGAAGGAAGGATAAGGAAGGGCGATGTGAAGATCAGTGGGAAGATGTGTGAAGATCATAAGGGATGGTGAGAATCCATCCCAACATCGTATATAGTATATATATATAATGAGAATCCATCCCAACACCATTCCAGTAATCAAAATTGATCAATATGGCAAGACATGGTATAATTCTCAGACAACTCGAAGGAGCTCTGGATTCCCCCAAAAGCTTCTCCGGTACTTTGGATTTTGCTACTTAATCTGCTAAAAGCGAGACGCGGCCGACGTGTCAGCTCAAAGACTCCTGCTTGGGGCATCTCGGATTTTCGAAAGGGACCCCTTCAACTAGGACTGTTCAATCACAAAAAGAACCCATTCGGACCTAGGACTCCTGGAGCTTCGAGGCTCGTAAAGCCTTCTGTTTCAGGTCTCTCTCGCTGTTTGTGGGCCGAGGTCTTTGCCGTTCTTTTCACGTCCCTTGGCGCTCCCGGCGCTCGGTGCGGAGCTGTCGGCGACAAGCGCGCCACGGAGCTCGACGGCGGCGCGCGCCCGCCTTCCGCTCCGAGTTCCACGGGGGGCGGGTGGGTGGAAGCGAAGCGGAAGCGGTTCATTCCGGAGGGAGGCCATCAGCAGATGAGACAGCCATGTAGTTAGGGGCAACCCGAGGCCATTCAGACTGATACCACCTGTTGGAGTTGCAGGATGTTACAACTGTTACAAGCTACTCGGTGTGCTCTTTCCTTGATAAACTTCTTCAACAAGTCAGATCATCTCCTTGCTAAAGCCAGGTCGACCGCTGGGGTCGGGAGGATGTCACATGCTTTCCAGACCCACCGAAGGTCGTGTTCTGCAGCTCTGCAGCATGTCCATCCCACGTGCTCCCCCCCCAAAAGCCGGTCGTTGGTGTTGTGCACTTGTGCACCATGTTCTTCCTTTTTGGGTGTCAGTGTGGAGGATCTGATGGGCCTGGGTGCAATTGGAATGATCACTTGTGGTAGGCTGTAGACGCCAGCCTGAACACCAACCCTCTCGCTGCCTATTCACTCGCTGTTCTCGCTTAACTCCACGCCTCTACCCGGAGGATGTTCCCCAAACAGACCAAAGGGTGTTCCACCCACAGACCAAAGGAGCGCTCCCCTGTGCGTCCCGACTGAAGGGTGTTCCGCCACCACGGTCTGGGTGACAAGCGTCGTCCCGCGATCGGAACGTCTCAGGCAAGCGGTCCACGAATGGAAAGAAGATCCTTGCCTGCGAAGTGCTTACATGTGGTGCCGGTTTAACCCAGTCCCAGTCCCATAGAAATGACATCCATTACATGCTGTTTTCCAATAGGGCAATTGAGATCCTTTGCATAACAAGCGGTGGTTGACTGGGTTTCCAGTCCTCCAGCCGAGATGTGATGTTTTGCCGGAATGAAGGAAGCTGGAAGCTCTTTCTTGGGCCTTGCCGTCCACAAAATGGTGGGTCATTTCGCCCCCCCGACGTTTGGTTGTCCAACATCAGTTTTCATGGGGGCATCTCTGAGGAGAACTTCTGTGAACCCTTACCACCCATCTTGGCATTCCACTTTGCAGAGTCTTTGCATGTACCAACATGATCACCAATGAGTTCACAGTTTTTTGCAGCTGTAGCGGCACATCTGGGGCAAGATCCCGCTGCTGCGACTGCTTCCTTAGACTTGGAGGGCTTTGTGAATGATGCACAGGATATAGTTATGTTCTGGTTGGCCCTTCGAGCTTTAAATGAAAGGAACTTTTTGAACGCTTGGAGGAGGACGGGGCTGTCTTTGGAACTGAGTTGAAGGATGTCGGCAGAACACAGCATACATGTACACAGGCATGCAGCCTCTTCAGCTTCGACAAGATGAGAGTGACAGGATGAACCTAAACCCCTAGGAAAACACAGATCCGACACTTACAAGGCCATGACTACGGCTAGACCATCTACTGGGAGCGTCCCAGCATGTCCCCTGAGTGTCCATGGCGTGCGGTTTTGGTGACCCCCCATTTCACGGCTGATACATTTTTCTATGCATCGATGTCCAGTTTCGCGTCGTGGCCGTGGCCGTGGGCGTGTTGAAATCGTGGTGTTGGCAAGGATCCAGGGGACATAGTCTTGGCTCCCCGAGAAGAGGAGGCCGGGGATTGGGCGGTTGGATTGAGGTCAGAATCAATGGGACTCCCTCAACAGGGGATTTTGGGCATGGCCGTTTCTTTTCTTTCTCGGGTGTAGCGTTGTTGGTTTGCTTCGAGCGGAGCAGGGCAAACGAAGACCAGATCCAATAGCAAGGTGCGTGTGTCCTTTTCTGGATGATGAGTTATGATGCTTGCAAGGATTGTTCCTTGGAAGGATCTTATCATAGAGCATCCTTGCCATACACAGTGATCTTACGAAGCATTTATGGCAGGGTTTACTGCATCCTTTACAAGATGGGCATCACTGGGGTCAGTGTCGCAGAACACCTGTATATATATATATATAGAGTGGTTGGTCAACCAGCAAATCACTATTGTAGAGATGTTAAAATGAAAAGGTCCGTCAACCAGCTGAACCATCATCCACTGGACCCTGGGGTGCTTGGGGATCCTACCGGCAGACCTGATGGGATCAACGGCGAGAAGGGAGACCCCTCACCCTGGTATTGTCGCGTGTGAAGTCTCTGTTGTGCTCAAGAGCAAAGGCGCTGGGCCTTGCGAGTTGGCATGTCTTCTTGGGCAAGGTCCAAACCATCAGTCAGATTCGTATGCAACTGAGAAGTGTTTGCATGTATGTGAGCTCCCAAACCAGACACATTGCTTTCATCCCCAAACAGTTGGAATTGGAATCCTTTCATCTCAGCCTCTAGTTATGGCCAGCCCATCACTGATGTGTTGAGCGCAAGCGCTCTACCAAATATATACAGAACACCATGCCCTCCAGTCCTTCCCAGTCCTTCCCTCTGTCCTTCTCAGTCCTTCTCTCTGTCCCTGTTCTGTGCAGAACATCAAGCGCTACTTCGAATCCCTGGGTGATACGATGCTGGCGCTCTTCATGAGCATCGCGGGCGGCGTGAGCTGGGAAGAGGTGATTTTCCCGCTGAAAGAGACGCTGGGCAGTCCGGGCGGTCCGGGCGGTCCGGGCGACGGAGGCTATGCGAGGCGAGGGCTTGGGAGGTCGAAGTAGCTGCGTTCGTTCGGCTTTTGGTTCGGAGGCTTTTGGGTTCGGGGGTGGAGGAGAGCACTGAAGAAGTGTTTGGAAGCCGTTTGGAAGCCCAGCCTAGCGCGGCAACGTGCAGTGGCTAGAGCCAGGTTTGAGGCTTTCAGAAGGCTTCTGGATTCGATGGTTGGAGGGCACTAGTGAGCATGGTTCCAAGTTCCAACTGCTTGTTGGCAGAAAAACAAAGACAACGAGGTGTTGAGATTGGGAGTAAGTTGTTGAGGCAGCGGACGTAGGACAAACTAATGCAAACGTCGTATTAATCAACGGCCCCCCCCCCCCCAGAAGGTCAACAAGGTCAACAAGGTCTGAGATTGGAGGTTTTGGAGATCACATCCCCCTAATAGTGGGGATGACCTGATGATGAAAGGGAATTAGTATTTGGAAGAATTGGAATGAAAGGGAATTAG